CACAATCGTACACAAAGCTTGAGCTGCAATCTGCCGCGGTATCATTGCACAAGTATCCAGACATTTGAAGATTTCAAAAAGCTTCAGATGTATGATGGATTGTCTTTGCGACGCGGCCGGACGCACTTTGACTCCGATGTTTGCTTGAATGTGCTAGTGCCTTACAATGGTCAGCAGACGCGGAAGGCGGAGATTAAATTGCATGTTGCACAAGGCATCGTGTCAAAACACTTGTGCAAGGGCGTCCGGACCTCCGAAAAAAAAACCGGCCACCAGGGGGGTGCGAGCAGAAAAAGACACAAAAAACACCGGCCACCAGGGGTACCCAAGCCCCGGCGCAGAATAAGTTGAGATTAGTTAGATATACGAGGATGGGGCCTGCAATCAATCACTCCAGGTTTAGAATACAAACCAGTGTACTTGCAATTAGGGCTCGTGTGCGACTCAGAGCCGTATAAGGCAATTTCCGTTTACATATGCGGCTGGACCCTTCAATGTTAGGCAAACCCCGTTTGACCATCTCGTTTCGGACCGGTCGGTTGGTGTGGCCTGTCCCATACGGCTTCTCGCAGGGGGCCGGCCACCAGTTTTGGAACATGTATACGAGGTTGAGCAGTTCAAGGTTATCTATAGGCAGACTTTCCGACCATTATGTGGGTTTTGAATGCTGTCGAAAGTGCTCAACCCGGGCACCGGCCACCAGCCCCCTCCACTCTTCGCTAGGGAGCTCCGAGAACCGGCCACCAGCCCCATCAAGGAAATTCAGAAGACCGGAGGTCCGGACGCCACTGCACAGGTGTTTTGACACGTTGCCCAAACATTAGAATGAAACCGACTCGGCACTTGATCTGGTTGGCTTAATTTAATGCACTTCAGAACCCTGTGACTTGCCAATCCTTATTCCAGCTTCCATGGCAAAGCCAATGACAGTGTGATTGAGCATTTCCAAGGTTGATAAACACATCGATTCAACTTGATTGAGCATATGTCAGTTTACTTGCGATGCTACATTACACACGGCCGTAGTATCGTGGCAAGCGGCGCCCACGCAGCTTGATGTAATAGCGTTGAATCGAAGCGATAGGGCCGACGTATATCTTTCATGCAAGGAGCTAGTCAAAGATTTCTTTATAAGGAGAATGTTTGAACTATATTCGTTCCATGTATAGTTTGACGTCTGGGCTTGCATGTGCGAATATGCCTGAGTCGAATTGTTGTCATTGATATCCTCGATTCAAGGCGTACAAATTGTATTAGTAGCGATGCATGCTTTATATGCCGGGAAAATCGGACCATGCCGCATATAACATGCCACATACGTTGTGGAATGTCTACGTACCGTACAGCTAGCGCAGAGCGCCACATAGAACCTTTGTACAAACTACTATAGGTGCACGACTTAGATTATCATGCATGGCACACATCTGAATATCACCAATTAAGCTGTCTACAGAGTATGGTTTTTGAAGTTAAAGGCTTGAACTCGATGTGGTCCAGTGATCGCATCCGGGCCCTGCACTTCTAAACAACGAAGGCTTTGAAAGTCAGATGATGTCAAGATGATGAATGCCATGCACCACAATGATGTAGCGACCACGCGGCGAAAGAATGGATGTTCAATAATCGTCATTGCCCTGCGTGTCCGCACAAATGAAGCTTTCCGGGCCAAAACCAAGTAACTTTGCAACATTGACGTGATCCTTGTGAGTTGTGGTGACACGGACGGAAATCTCTACATCACATGGGGGCCCTTTCCAATCCGGTTAACCGTCTTGCTCTACTTTAGCTTCTTGGTCCTTGCGCCATCCTATTGGACTGTAAGTTCCGTCTGTAAAGCCAAAAACATATGAGACATTCGAAACTTTAGCATCAGCGATGTAGAAGCGAAGTTGCTCGTGCTCGTTGACGAGGGCCACGACCACGTTTATGCCCTTGGCTTGGGCGAGCGCATAAACAAAGTCGAGCTCCAAGCCGGACCCTTCCTTCGCATGGCCTGCAAAAGGAACCCACGTCAACAAATGGGCGGGGCCGCTGCTAGCGAAAAGGGAGGAGAGTAACTAGCAAACGTAAGACTGTCCGATCCAACAGTGACCAGTACTGAGGACTTTGACTAACATGCAGTGACCTCCTTGAGCACGGACTGGGCTGTGGAAGATCGGCAAGGTTTCTCAAACCCCTCCTCTCTCGTACTTGTCCTTAACATCAGGCTACGTATGCCCTAGTCTGTTAGCCGCTGGCTGCAAGCTACTAGACTTGCCGCAGATCCATTAGCATTGCACGGAGTTCAAAAGCTCGCGGAAATGATGGTCTGGGAAGAATATCAAGCACTTACCTATTCGTCCTCTGAACCACGCGCGGACAACCCCCCTGACACCGACATTGCAAGTAAAAGGGACTTGGCGGACGGGGTATAGTTCTGTTGAGCAGCGTAACACACCACAAACAAACCGTTGTGATCAGGTGACTGACGTGAACCTTCGGCGCCCACCTTCCGCCCACTTCTTGGCCGCCTGCGCCGACGCGACGTCCGGCAGACTTAGCGCCTTGTAGTTCTGCTTCACGAACTGGCCGACTTGCTGACGCAGCGTGGCCGCCGAAACCGCCCCCGATGACGTCAGCACCGACGACACGGCTGCTGCTAGGCCATTCCCCTCGACCGGAGTGTCCAGCGGCCGCAGCTGCCGCGGGCCCGGGAGTTTGGCGTCGAGAGCGGTGGTCCCCTCCGGTTTCACGAACGCTTTGGGCACCGGCGGCTGCCGCCACACCTTCTCGATGCGGGTTACGTCCAGGTCCTCGATCGGCTGCTCGTCAAGGAGCCCTAGAGTGGGAAGAAAGACGCCGTGAGGAAAGTAGGAACAAGCACTGCTTGGAGAAGGCTAGGGAGGTCGTGCTGTGGGAATAGGGTCAAAAGGCGGAGACACGATGTCCTCAATCCTTGAAACTGTTCTCGGCCCTTTTCAGTCAATTGCAACCTGGCCTTTGCAATTGTATCTGGCAGCATAGCACTTGCTCGATTTAAAGGACGCCCCATCAGCACACAATCAAGGACGGGAGTAAGCAAAACCAGCGAAGCGCATTTAATCGTGCTGCGACACGGTGGCACCCAAATGGCCATTTCGTTTTTCATTCTTCGTCTTTGCGGAGCTTCTGATACAAGCCGGACTCACCGCTTGAGAAAGAACAGCTGCTCATTACGTGCTAACACACTGCTCAGCAATCGTCGGACACACGCCGATGTTGATCAGCCAGGAGCTTCAAGGTGTCAATATCGGTGTCCGAATATCGGCGACTCACCATCCGCCGTGCGGGTGCGCAGGAACGTCTTGTTCCGCCAGCAGAACACGGGCGACGCCAGGCTCCGCCGCCCCTGAGCCTCCAGCTTCTTGAAGCACAACCGCGCAAATGTCAGCAGCCGCTTGTTGAAGTGGCCCTCCTCGCGGTAGCCCGCCACGTGCAGGGGCGACAGGACACGCGTCGCGTGCATGTCGACGAGCAGGAAGAAGGACGGGACGGCGGTCTTGGCCTGGAAGACGGTGTCCGGGTACACGTCACGGATGTACACGTGGAGCTGGTCACGTGGCATGTGGATGCTGACGCCCAGAGTCGGGTGCAGCTTCTGCGCGCACGTGAGGAGCCACCGGCGCGTGCGGCGGGCCTTGCACTTGGCCAGCAGCTGGAGGAAGTCGGATCTGAAAAGCAAGGAGTGAGCTTGTTACCTTGATCAATCACTTTGCGAGGGCCTGTGATCAGCAAAAAGCAGGCAGAGCATGTCCGCGCAAAGAGAACCTTGAAAACCCTACGGCTCTTAAGTTTGCGACGATTTTGAGAGCATAAGCTCGACTTCGGAAAATATTTGGAAGCGTGAAAAGCTGGCGCGAATCATCCTCATGCTTACGGGCATGACTGACTACCGATCTTCCAAGTATTGTAGAACGCAGTCGCGGCCCGAAAGCTCGTTTGCCAAAGTGTATCTACGAGTTCATCTGCCATTAGCTAAGCCAATCATGGACAAAGCGGCCGTATCGACCGATCATGCAACGGAATAGGCAGAAACTTACACGGGGAAGTCCTGCAGCTTGCGGTCGGGGCTAAACGTCGTCTCAAAGAGCCGAGTAAGCTCCCGCTGCTCATCCCGGGTCAGCTGTTTGCCCGGGGGAACGTCCCGGTCGAGCAGGTCGTCCAGCAGGAGGTCGGAGAAATGGAGGAGCGCCTCCCGGGAAGACAGGTCCTTGAGCAACGCGCGCTGCGACCGCTGCCGCTCCTGGAGCAGAGTCTGCAAGTAAAGTCGGACGCGCACAGAATGAGAATCGCTTTTTTTATGTGTTGGCGGAACATACTAGACGAAGCGGCTGCGATACTTTAGCGTGGTCACAGAATTGGTTGCGCACTTGGGCATGACGTCCTTGAGCGGCGGGCGCTGCGACCGCTACCGTCCCTGGAGGAGAGTTTGCGGGGGGGAAAGCGAGAAAGAGGTGTGAGCATTTCGCACGTTTTCAAAAAATGCTGACAAAGTCTTCCAGACGGTGCCTTCTGATGGACCTGCTGGACGGAGGGGTTCAACCGGAACGCTGAAGCAAGACAACCCGAGACGAAGCTTCGAGCGCCGACTTCGCTCGAAACAGACGGAATCAGGGCGAAGAGAAGCCAGAAAGAAGACTGTGTATGACCTGCGGACGGTCGTTACTGGCCCCGTATCACGCCGTGCACCTTATGACACGTGTGCAGGGTTTCCTTGAACGCTGCAACCGGAAGAGGAATTAGACAAGTAATACCGGGGCCCGGTCCAGTTCTGACAATCCAAAGCTGACAAAGTCGGCATTCACTCGGATATACAATGTCGCCGCACCGACGCAGTTGAAAACGCATTCAAAAACGGAGTCAAAAGCGCATCAACGCACCTGCGCACCGACGCAGTTAAAAACGCAGTCAAAACCTCTCGCAAGATTCGAATCGAGCCCCACCTGCTGTAGGAAGGTGGCTGCCCGCTGGAGTGTGCTGCTCTTGCTAGCCAGCGATCGGCCCGACATTTCCGCCACGCCATCGATGTTGTTTTGCACCACCAGGTAGCTCCCGAAGCCGTGATCTCGGTCCAGTGTGAACAGGCGCCAGTACACGATCTGGGCAGCCGCAAAGTAGGCCGCGACACCGCTGTCGTCGGGGATGGTGATCAGGTACGTGTCAGCGACACGGTACAGCAGACGTCGATGGAGGGGTGCCTGAAAGACCGGAAACACAGAAAAACTTCAGTTGTGATGTACGTGCGCATATCCACATCCCAGGTCGGACTCTGTTTTTAGATAGAGCTGGCTCTTATGTTGCCAGAAAACCCAGGTTCGACGAGGTATACGGGGCTTCAGCAGAATCTCCGTCGAACTTGACTTTCTCGGACAGTGATTACATTGTTGTGTGGCAACTGGCCAACGCGCAGGAAATTGACGGCCGGTAAGAAAACGTAAGTCGACCAGAGAAGGTGCCTCAGCGCAGATTCCGTTGCCTCCACCGACACAACTTCCCAACTTCGATCAGCTCAGCCCGGCAGGTTGTTCAGAAGTCGTGGAGAGAGAACGTGGACCAACTCTGGATATTGAGGTCCTTGAATTGTTTAGAACCCATTTCGACTACAGCTACAACCCTGACCAGGGGAACCCCTTCGGTACCTCACTTTTCTCAGCTGCTGGCGGTGCCATGAAGAAACGGTACGAAATATGAGACTACCAAGACCCATCATTCGCCAGGGCACCAAAGGGTACAATAGCAGAATCCCAAAGTTGCAAATTGAGTCCCCTTTCTCCGTCAATGCAATCTGGCAGCTTCCCAGCCAGGATCTCATACTTTGGCCAGACCTTCCATCCCCTGAGAGAGTGCCGACACCGAAAGCGGATAGAGTACTCAAAAGTCTAATAACGAAACAGCTAAAGCAGGAAAGCCCCCCTCACCTCGTTTTCTTTGCAGACGACGAACGAGATGCTCGTGCACTGCTGGACGTCCGAATGGAAGTCGAACCGGACACTTGTCTCCTTCTGGTTGTGCTCCAGCTGCAACGCACAGAACGGATGAAAACTCGTCAAGACTGATAAGGGAGATCAGAGCAACAATGACTGATGCAAGACCTCGATTTCTGATGCCTTACAAACAATTTGCTGACGTCAGCGCAACGTCGTGCAATTAGACCAATTTAGTCTCGGAAGGCGACAACATAGAAGAAGCTCCACCTTTGCAGAACCCGGAGGCGACTCCGTACTGAGTTTCAGCTGAACAAGCCGTTCCAAAGTTCGAAGTTGACATACAATCACAAAAGCTGTTTTCTCTCGGCGCTAACTCACGTGCGACAGGTGGAAGACGACCCGCGCGGCTGTCCTCGCTTCCCCCACCAGAGTCCGTTTCACCGCCTCCCTCGTTACATTCCCGTACTCCTCCGCTTTTCGAATCAGCTCGTCCCCAACCCGCAGCTTTCCAATTACTCTATAACGCGCCGAATCCACCCCCGAGGTGGATGGCGCCGAGTCGGAGGGGTCGGTCTGCGCGCCACGTGGCTCGGGGCGCAGATCGGTGAGCGAGATCTCGTGGCCGGGGATGGTGGTCTGTTCGATGCCGTCGAAGTCGACCTCGGGCAACAACCTGGTCAAAAGAACCGAGCATGGCTCAGTCGGAGTGCACGGAAAGAAACGAATCCACTGGGCGACAGCCGGAACGGATAGACGCGCTTCGAAGAAACGTAAGATCCCTCCGATGATTGGTCTTTCCAGAGCGAGCAGTGAAAGTCTGCTGGTAGGTGGGGATTGAGGGCGTCGCTATTTTGTGGAGCTGAAGAAGCCATCCGCAAAGCTCCTCGTTGCGGGCTCGTTGCACCGTGAAGCGGGGGGCATCCGGTTGCGGTAGGTCTTGATGACCAAGAGGAGCTATATTTGACTACGTGTGCAGGGATAAAGTTGACAAGGCTATGCTTGCACCGCTAGCTTGCTTTCAAGAGCCACCTCTTTCAGTCGGCCGGTAGCAACTGGGCTGTGTAGCCTTGCTCTTTCTTATCTACACTCTTGCTGAGCAGTCCTGAGCAGTGATGTTGAAGGAACGGCATGTCCCGTCTAGAATCAGACCCTCGAGCAAATCAGACTCTCGACATGACAGCCGGTGCAGCTGTTTGACAAGCGGCGCAGGCCGGGTCTTTAATGGCATTATGGCTGCGCCAATAGCGCAAGGAGGGTAATCAAAAAAGCTGGCTGTCCCGACTTAATGGTATTCAGCGGTAATCTGAAAAGGTGATCCGGAGAGGTGATACAGGAACGTCGAGGGGCCAGCATAGAGTTATGGGACTCACTTAAAGTCCGGCCTCTTGGAGGGACGCACTTGCACGATGGGCTTCGGTAGCTGCTGCTGCTCGTAAGCCACGCTGTGCGTTATACTGCACACAGACAGCGGCAGCGGCGTCAAAACCTAGTCAAATGCGTAAAAAGAGCTTGGCGTCAAAGCTTCCCTGTATTATCGCCTCGGCCGAGAATTTCCGCAGTGAGCAGGCGTTTGCCCTCAGCGGCCGCTTTCGAAGAGAAAGAAACCATTTACGGGTCAAATGCACACCAGATCCCGAGGAAGGCGGAAATCGCGTCAATTGTTGCGGCGAATCCCACACCTTGGATCGATCCCGCACATGCCAAATGTAGAAGCCAGACCCAACCTGGAGGCCGGTCATCGCAACCCAACCAGACGGACAAACAACTTAAATGCCCGAGCGTGCTTCTCGTCACTCACTTTCGCGCCATGCGGATGTTGTGCCGCTGCACCTCCTCCGCCAGCTTGGTCACGTCCGCCCGGATCGCGGTTAGCTTAAACCGGTTCCGAAGCGGCAGCCGGTGGATCAACGGCTGGAGGCTCTCCTGGCTCGCGTCGTTGAGGCGCTGCGCGCATGACGTCTCAGCCCACGTCAGCAGCCGTCGCACGAGGGGCGGCTGCACCTCCCGGCGCGTCCGGGAGTCGCGGCCGGCAAAGCGTACCAGGACGTCGGAGATGAAGGACTGCCGGATGTGGTCGGCATCTGGTGACGGGCGGAAGGGAGACAAAATGCGAGGGCGGGTTACGAACTTCACGCACTTCAGGCTTTTCAGTTCTAAAACCAGAGGCCCAGGCTGAATCTGCTAAATCGACAACCTTTGAGGAATGGCATCTTTTTCACGAAGCCTACTTTGAGGCATTGGTACTCGTGGCGACAGGAGCCTCGGATACACGAACACTGAAGCAACGGTCTCCAGACTTCCAATCAATGCTGCTATTCGCAAGTACAAGTCAGCGATAGATTGTGTCGCAGAACGGTGGTACGGCGTTGAATTTGGCACAGACAGATTATCGCAAGACACAAGCTCCAACAGTTGGAAGAATAGAAGGACACGTGGCCCATATTGAAGCCGGATCAGAGCGTTACGCTGTAGTCTCAAACTCAAGCAGATCAAGAGTGAGAGCAACACCGGTAGCGTCGAACTCCTCGATAGTGGATAGAAGATCCTAGACATCAGGCTGCCATTTCCAAAGAGGCAACCTTACAAAGCAACGGGGAGGACCCGAGGACCATACCAGGCAAGACCAACGCACCTCCATTCTCCAGCGCAGATTGCATCGCCGCGAAGCACGCCTTGGTGATGAACTGCGGGACGTTGTGGCACCAGTCCGTCGACTCGCTGGTGCTCGGCTCCTCTGCGCCCCACCGGATGGCCGTCTCGATAGCAGAAGACCCGTCCTTGATGCGCTGGCACTGGCTCTCGATGTACACGCGCGCCGCTCGCGTGAAGTACACCAGGGCCCCCTCTGCGTTGTCGGTCTCCTGGAATAAGATGAGAGGGGAATGAGGGCACGGCTTAAAGAAGCTTTGCGTTGGATACCAAAGATTGAACGCAAATGGAGCACAAGTCTGGGTGCAGGAGTGTGATTCGGATTAGGCCGCCAACCTTACAGTTTCTTCTGCTCAAGTTCGAACTTGCGTCAGACCGGTGGAAAGGCGTGTCTAACATAACGCTTGTTGCTAGACAAACTTTCAGCGGCACAATATCACCGTTTTCCTTGGATGTCACTCAGCCAACATCCAGTTCACCGCGAGTAGGCACAAAACAAGCACGCGGCTCACCTCCGTCCTGCCCGACTCCAGCCTGTAGACCTTTTCCAGAAGCACGCTCTGCTTCTGGATGCGGTCCTCACAACCCCGGTCCACCAGATCCGAGAAAAACTGCGCAGGAGAGAGGAGCGCGGATCAATGAAGGGTTTCTTGGGTAGTGGAACAACCAGAGAACAATAAAGCGGACATTTTTGCACAGACTGCGGTGAAATGTCCCGTGCAGCGTGAGTTTCAGAAGCAAGGAGCGGTTCTGAAACGCTGCGGGAAGCGAAGAACATTTCTTGCCCACTGCCTCGATCAGCCGCTACCAAAATCAACCTAGATCTTGTCGGTACACACTGAGGCGGACGACCGGCCACCAATCCGCAGCAAACCCAGCTTAACCAGCTTCACAAACCGTGAAGGTGCTCGCTAAGCAGTCCTCGCTAACCTTATGGAGGCAGACGGCGATGTCACTCCCAAACTGAACCGCCCCCATAGTAGCCGCACGGAACGCATTCACGCGGGCCTCCCTGGTCTCTAGCGCCTCAGGGGGAATCCGCTCCAGCAGTTCGTCCGCGACCCGGCTGGCAGCCTCCTCCAGGTCATCCTCCACGCGCCTCTCAAGCTCGGGCAACGTCTTTTCGCTGGATGGACAAAGACAGTGGGCGTCAGAATTTTGTCGAGAAACATCGTCCTGTAGGATTTGCAGGATTTGCGGGATTTGCGGGAAGTCGGGATTACATTGCAAGTTCTTGTCGGACTTGGCAGCCTGGCCAAACAATATGCGTCGATGGAAGACTTTACGCCGCTTATCGAACGCCTCGGGGTCTATGACCAGCACCAGAATGATTGGGTGAGGCGGCCCAAAAGTGAAAAGGTCCTCAGTAAAGCTCCTCTTGGAGTCCACTTTCTAGGATTGGTCCGTCTGACTTTTCTTTCCAGCAGATTATCATCTTCTCGCCGACATGGGGTAGTAGATGTTACAGAAATGTTTCCGCTGCCCCAGGAAGCAACTTTCGTTCTCGACCGAGATACATTCGTGTTCGCTGCCAACGCAACTACTTAACGGGGGGAGACTCATTTTCTGCAAAGGCAGCCGTCTCAAAGTTGAAAAGATACAGTGACATCACGGCAAAGTGCACACAAATTGCAACACTGTTCCACTCACCAGAAATGTGCGAGGAAGTCCCTCCTGTCCCGTCGCAGAATCTGGTTCAGCTTTTGCTCGATGACAGCGGACTGAGCTATGGCCGGGAGTTCCGGGGACTGCATAAAGAGACCCGTCATTCCGTCAGCATAAAGCCAAGAGCTCACCCGTCGCTCGATCTCCAACTGTGATAAACCGCGGCTACCCAGGTACGTTCCAAGCTGACTCAAACATGACAATCGTACCTCCTTGACTTGAGCAATTTGTTGAGTACAGGAATGCTGCCTAACAGCTTATAGATGGTCACTGTTTGCCAAAGGCGTAGAGCCCCCTCTTCCGCATTCTCTAAGCGCAACAGAAAACCTCGCAGATCTTACTGAACTGGAAAGCGAGATTTGAGCCAAGTTGATTCCTCAGCAACAAACAAGAGACGGCCAAATTTGGGGCCGTTTCGGAAGCGCATCTGCGGAACTTCTTTAGACCCGACAACCTGCACAATGACAATGCATGCAACTCTCCGCAAGAGTTGCTCTGAGGGTCCGAAAGAAGTTGCGGGATCTCACGGGGTTGTGTGGCGCCTGCCGCTTGAGCTGGCCGGTGGCGACATTGAGCCAGATGGAGATGCTCTTAGAGAGGGAGCCCGTCTTGTTACGCATGAACGTGGTCATCATACGGTCCTTTAGCTCCTGGACACGTGGAGGTACCAAAAGTCAACACGTGGCATTAGCACCCGAACAGCAGACGATCTCCTATGTCAGACATGGGGCGCTCCTTAAACATGTGAGATCCACCAAAAACCCCTCGTTCAGGTAAAGAAGGACGGTAAGAGCGAGCAGAAAATCCTTTTGCTGAAGCCTCGAGCGCGAACAACTGAACGGAGGGAAGGGTTACGAAGAAGCCAGCCTTAAGAAAGTGATAAGGACGGAACATACCTTTCAGGCGCCCGTCGGCTGATCAGCCGCCCGATATTTGCGTCAATTTTGTTTCAGCAGTTTTTCGAACATGTTTGCTCGTGAATGTTTGGATAGCGTGTATGTTTCGGCAGTTATTCGCACGTGATACGCAGGATGTTTCGCAGTATGAATTGTTTGTTGGCAGCTTGTGTTTGCAGCGAGTGTATGATCAGCAGGAAGCCTTGCGGCTTGATTCGCAGCATGCATCAGCAGACTCAGATTGCTTTGCAGCAAATCCCGACCTCGATTGCTCTCACAGAGCCTATGCAAAGACTTCTGCTAATAATTCCTACTCCAATCCAACACAACGGAGCACCCAAGGGCAGTCATCAAAACAAGCAACACGTGGGCGCTTTCGCACTTGCAAAGACAAGCCAATCACCCACTATTAGCTCGGTAGGCGTGTATATCTCAAGCTTGACCCGTCCTTTCAACTAGCGAGTTGACCCAAACAGCAAGTGCTTCGGAAAACCCTGTCACCCTCTCAGCAGCAACATCAAGGGGAAGAAGTAAGAGCAACTACTCACTGGGCAGTTGAGCGGCTTCACGGGCTGCATGACGATGAGTGCGTCGTGCAGATGGGACACGATGGCCTCTTGCTGCTGGATGAGGTGCTGGAGGTTTGGCACTGCGCGCGCCGCTAGCCGCTCCGGCTTCTTGATGCCGCCAGTCAGTGCAATCACGTTGTCCTGCCAGATCTTCTGCAAGGCGACAGGGAAGCGAGCGGAAGCTTCTCGTTAGTAACAAAGTCGCGTGTTTGGTACGTAACAGTTCCTTTGCTACTACGAGTATTTGGCGTAAACGGGAAATGGGCGGACACTTCTCGTCAGCAAGTTATCGCGTTCCAAAACGTGAAAGTGCCTTTGCTAACCGAATGTTGGACGGCAGGGAGGAAACTATGTCCGCAAAAAAAACGATTGATGGCAAAGGAGTTCGGAGGAGAGTCTGAAAACGGCATGTGCACTGCTAGGTCGAGTCAAGTCCTATACGACCACAACGGATTGGACGGCTCTGCCAAGGACCTTTACGATCTAGCCGACTTCATCGCGGATAAACCGAGAAACCAGGTGGAGCCGACAATGCTCTTTTGAAGTGCAGAACCGCCTGTGGTGCTTGTTGCCACCCCCAGATCGCCTGACCCATATCACATTACTCGAAAGCATCCCCCGGGCAGAAGGGTGCGTGGCACCAAAATTCACCAAAGGGCTCAGTCCAAAGCAGCTGGAAAGCTGGCCGTCTCACTGTTTATCTCACCTCGGTGGTCTGCTCCGCGCTGGGCTTCTCGGGGCAGACTACGACGGGGAACGTGTCCGGCGTTCCGTCGAAGATGCCCAGTTTGAGCAGCAGAATTCCGTCCACTTCGCTCCGCTCCCGGTCGCCGCAGCAGTGCACAATGACCGGAACACCACGCATGCCCTCACGCACAATGTCGTCCGTCACGCCGCGGACGTCCGACAAGTCGGTCTCCTGCTCCTTGAAGCCAACCATCTGCAAGGAGAGTTCGGAAGTCGATACAGATTTCGCTTAACGGGTCTGGCAAGAGTTCATGCGCGGACGTCCGACAGCGCGGTCTCCTGCTCCTTGAAGCCAATCATCTGCACGAATTGGACAGCAACCGGTGTGAGTTTCCAAAGAGGGAACGGAAGTAAATATGAATCTCTGGTTCGGAATCTAGCGGAGGGAACTTTGATAGCTCGGTCAAACCCCTTTCAACCCTCACCAAGTGCAGGAGGGAGAAATTGTACGTTCAAAGAAGCGACGAAAAAGCAGGAATGAATCCCGACTGTTTCTCGAGGCGGATGGCTGACGCGGCAACCATCAGATGGGCCCGGTGGAATCGGACCCATTTCTGTCCACGACCAACCAAGCGCCACTCTGCTTCGCCCACATTCAAGAAAAGGGGCCTACACGAAACAAGTCCGAAGTGACGCGCCCAGGCAGACTGCTTTACTCATCATCGTCTACTACGATAATGAGCCTCTCTCCTCCCGCGAATAGCGGAATCAATGGGACGCCGTGAACTACCGGCAAGAGCAGGGAGCCTCTAGGAGCTGGTCTTCTTCCGCATCAACGAGCTCTGCCAAACCACTTTTCGGATGGTGTGATAGGAGTTCGAACCTAAACTGACGTTCCTCCGGGTGCCCTTCTCACGTCAGCTTCGATCTGGCCCTGAAACACGTTCACGTAAACTTTCTCACAACCTAACAAAGCAACACTCACATCGCCCAGCTCCCAGCTTTCCTCGAGGCCCTCCCATGCGTTGGACTCCAGCCTGATCTTTTCGATCATGAGCTGCTGCGCTGGCGTGTACCCCTCCCGGATGCGGCTGGTGTAGAAGCGCGCGCGGTCCTTGGGGCTGCTTCCGGCGGAATCGACCCCCGGAATGGCTTCCTCGAGGGCCGGAACGACCATACGGTCCCCCACGCAGTGACACACCATCTGCAGAAGAAAAGCGACAGTGTATCGGACTTCAAAATCCGTTACGTAAGTAGAAGCAGCAATTCTGGAGAAACTACTTGAGGAGTTTTGCCATAGCGTAGAAAACACTGCGTCTCACAGGAGAAGAAGACGAGCAGGACTGCAAAACAAAATGCTGAATCCTTCGAACAACCCCCTCGCATACTTCGTCTATTTCTTCGATTCCCATCCGGTCCGATCGCAACCAGGTGGTTGTTTAGCTATGGCGCCTTGAAACAAGGCGAGTAACGCCAGTCGTATTGCACAACCACCAATACAACCGATCCACGCAAGCGAGAGCCCTGTTGACAACAAAGGGTGTGTTCGAACCTCGGGCAAGAAACGCTCCAGCAAGCATTGTCGCCCTCTGCCTCACCTCCCACTTGTCCCCCTTCTGAACCCGCTCGCACTTGTACTGGAACTTGAGCTCGTCCCCACTGATCCCCCCCGCCAGGAAGCGTCGCTCCACCAGCTTCACGTACCGCTCCTTGCGCCACCCGATCACGTGGGTCGTCAGGCCCGGCCGTTTGGACTTCCAGACGAAGATCGGGACTACGGTCCCGTGGTCGCGAGACTCGGGGACCGGGTGGAAGGGACCGTCCATTCCATCGCTCCCGGGAACCACCAACCTGTACACTAAACAGATGTAAATCGCCGTCGAATACTTGACAAGATTTCTGAAGGGGAATAACTCATACTGGACTACGAGGCAGACTCCTCGGTCATGTTCTGTTTCCCAAGACAGTCCCAGCACGGTAAAGGAGGACTGCCGGAACCAAGAAAACCCAAAGTGGAAAATCTGCGGGAGTCCAAAAACCTTGCCGCTCGGATGGCACAGCCAACAGCTCTGTATGCAAATAAAGCAACAAAGGTTCGAAGCTTTCAAATGGTCCCAAACCCTGCCCTGTCCTTGCATCTGACGTTGTCGAAGGCCCACACAACCCACTGTTGTTCAAGGCTGCAAGAACACTCTCTGGCCACCTTCAAACGCCCAAGAGTCGGCAATTCGGCCCTTGTTGCAACAGTCCCTTGCCTCTTACAAGTTAGGCCCTTGGCACTCCCAGGCTTGTTCCAGAAAGCTCCAGAACACACTCCAGGCTCCTTCTAATCCCAGTTGCTCTCCACGAGCCCCAATCCAAAAGAAACAAACGGCTCAGCCTCCGATCAAAATCCTCACCTGTTGCAGGTCAAGCTCTTGGCACTCCCGGGCTTTCCAACCACCACGATCTCCAGCGTCGCTTGCTCCAGCGCGCGCGTCTCCTTCACGATCTGAGTCTCAAAGTCGACCGGCGTCTTCAGCTCGCCGATGGTGGACCTTATGGTTTCGTGCATGCTAATCACCATGTTGGCGAGTTCTAGGATGGGAGTTGGGTCCAGTTCCTCCTCCTTGGGCGTCGCATCCAGCGTGCCGCTGTAGAGAAAATGATGATGGAGTTCAATACAGGTGCTTCGAGTTAACAATCGTCGCTCGTGTTCCTGGGTTCATGAGAAAGCACCTCAGTACCAATTTTTCCAAAACTTGGGACTGCTATAACAGAACCTTTCGAAGGACGTTTAGAACCTCGAGCATGCCGCGATTCCTACTACGTAGCAAGGACAGGTTGTAAAAAGGGCTTGCAAAGAGCCTTGAAAAGGTGCACATGCTGGACGCAAAGATATCCCAGGCCATACTGAAAAGGGGCCTTTGCTAAAAGGCCTTGAAGAAGTCTTTCCCTAAATCAGCGACGTTGGCTGGACCCGTCAAAGGAACTTTGAGGACCGGGGAAAGACTTGACAACACTTTAGTTCTGCAGGCCTTGACAGACCTTTGATCCCAAACAAAGCCAGGACAGACACTAACGACCTTCGTCTGCGTTAAGGCCGCGGTAAATATCAAGAGAGAGACGTTCTCAAAACTGTGCTCACTCGCGCAGGCGCGGCAGGGTGACGTCACGGAGGTGTGCCCTGAGCTGCTCCCTGGTGGCCTCGTTCTTGGTCACCTTGGCCAGGAACTTGTCTGCCAGCTCGAAGGACGTCAGGTTGATCACCTTCTCGTCCGCCATCTGAACATGTACAAAAGGTCTGCCGTCAGAGAGACTGCTTGACACTGTTGCAGACCTTAAAGGGCCTGCACTTGTCTAGCACACAACCTCGAAATCGAAGATAAATGGCAAGCAAGATGAACCTCCTCAATTTCGGCCACTGAAAACCGAAGGTAAGTTCTTGACTGCAGCGCTCCTAAAATGGTGCTAAACGAGGGTATCGTAAGACAACAGCCACACAGGGACCGAATGCCCGCAACGTGACCTTGCAGTTGCTAAAAGCAGCGACGTGGTTCACAACCGCACCGACATGCAGTCATTAGCCAATTCTGAATGTCCTGCGAGCCACATGAGGCAGTGCCCTTTTCGAGAAAGCATAACCACGTCAGTTGGGCATCTGGTCTGACAGGTTTTTGCAACCAAACGAGATGCATGACAGCAGCATAAGACACTTTTAGGCTCGTACCTTGCTCAGCGCGAACTCTGGGCTGTACTGCCGTGCATTCTTCAAGCCGATCATGGTCCCCAGCTCCGACAGGACCAGGCGGCTCTCCCTCTCCCGTTGCTCTTGAAGCTCAGGAGTATTCTCCACACCTGGAAACAAGTTACAGCACCAAAAAAGAGTTAAGACCCTGCAAGACAAGAAGCTGATTATATTACGCACACAGCGACACCCGAGCAAAGTGACGACCAGAAGTGCCACGCCACCAAAATGCATCAATCAAGATGCACGAATGCCGCTCTGATCAAACGCAATCGCAGCTCTCCTGATCTGCTGCGCACCCACGGTGTTGACCCGGAGCTGCCCACATTCGCTCTTCTTTCCTAAGCTCGTTGACATTCGCCAATTGAGTCAGCATAAGCAGAAGGTCAGAAAAGTCTATCTTGAACAAGCAAGCAAAGCAGCCCACCAGATCCCCACAGCCTGGCCGGCACAGCCACCCCAAATGGATAAAGAAGGCATGCATTTTGCTGATCCCCGCCGACCAAACAAGCATAAGCAAAAGGACACCAGAAAAGTGGCCCCAAACAGATAAGCAAGGGCGCCCACCTGGTCCCCACAACCTTGCCGGCACGTATACCCTGAACGGGCGGCCGAAGAAGTCGTACAACCGCTCCATCTTGACATCATCACCGCCCTGCTCAGCCTTGGGCCCCGCTACCCCCCCGCAACTTTCCGCTGGCTGGCTGTCGCTAGTCTCCGGAGTCGCTATATCATCCTCACCAAAGCTTCCTATTGCCGCAGCCCTGGGCATTGCCCTCCCGCCTAAGCTCCCGGCTCGCCTGTCTGAGTTTGCCCCCAGTTGACTTTCCTGAGTTTCCACACATGCTTCTGAGTGCAGTTGCTCGCTGTCAGTGTCGGTTGCCCCTCGCATCCCTTGACTCGTTGCTACCAGGATAAGTGCTCTCTTGCCTGGACTTGCAGAGGCTTGCTTACGGCTCGCCGGCACCGCACGCTTTGCAGGTGCACTGGCCTCTTTTCGTGCTTGAGCGACAGGGCGCATCAGCGATTGCGGCAGACTGGCAGCCTTTGCTTGCAGAAGCGTCCCACTAATGTGTTTTGGAACGTCCTGCTTTCCCACAATCTCGCGCGCAACGAGCTTGCTGCTCCCTGCGGTCGACACACTCCTGCTACCCTTGATTAGGGTTTCGCTTCTGACGGGTTCCGCAGACAAAGCAAACTTTTCATTTCCATAAGGCTCAGACCAGCTTGACATTGGCTCCGAGTCCTCCTTGAAGCTAGACTGCGACCCCTCAAGCGTTCGGCGCCTCCGCACTGGTTTCTTTGCCACTTCTACAAGCCGCCGCTTCAAATGCTTCCCGCCTTTCTCAGGGTCTTCCAGCGCCCATGGTGCTGGGGGGCTAGGCTCTCTGTTGCAGCCCATAAAATGCACAGACTCTTGGGAAAGAGGTAGACTGGCGGTAAAATCAGAGGAGGTGTCTATGCTAGCAGGGAGTGCAGCATCACGACCAATGCTGCTGACGCCCCAAGTCTCGTGGCTGCTTGTCTGGGAGTTAGACAGGCTCAGAAGGCACTCTGCAGATGCCACAATGCTGTCCTCGTTCTCCAAAGAATCAAAAGCACTTTGCTTATGTGACTGCTGAGGCAACCTTGCATGAGGCTGCCAAGTCTCTTTGACCTGTTCCCTGATTTTTGGCAACTCCGTTGAGAGAAATGTGCGATCCCCGCTACGCCGACTGCCCCAGAAAGAACGCTTCCCCTTGACTGGCTGCACTGCTTCTTCCAGCTTCTGCTTCTTGGCAGCTGGCAACGCAAGAATAGCCAATGTCTGCTCCTCTAGGTATTCTCTCCCCTTTGCCATGGCTTCTCCTTTGCTCCTAGCAGCCAGAAATGGTGTCCAAAGTAGGCCCCTTGCATGAGAGAGAAACCAAGTCTGGGGGGGCGAACTTCAGGGAGAAGAGGGGGAAGAAGCAGGTCTTTCTTGAGTCCAAACCCGCTAGGCTGTCTCTCCTAGCGGCTGGCCCCTGCTACCCCCCTTGCGGATTCCGCAGCTTGCTCCCGTTCGTGCCGTAATTTGGATTCCTTGCCTACGTGTAGTTCTGATCCTCCAAGATAGGGCCTTATTGAGAATGCGCCCATCCGTCCCATTTTTCGTCCTGGGGGATCCCTCAGTTGACTCGGCACTGCCCGGTTAGGAAGGAAACCGGGGGTGCATGGAAACTTGAAGTCTCTTTGACGGGCTTCCCAGCCGCCTCTCTAGACACCGGCTTCGTCAGCACGTTCCGAAGCAGCCGGTTCAATAAACCGGTTGACTTCTGCTGACCTAATTCTATAAGGGGGGGGTTGAGTGGACGAGGATGACTCAGACCGGCAAAACACGTTACAGCCGTCGATCTTGATTCTCAGCGCTTTTGAACCGTCGATCTCATGCTGATCTTTTGGGTTCGACCCAAAACCAAAACTACGCGTCCCTGCTTCTCCAAAATTACGGCAAGCGTTTGGCCATTGGCGACGCAGCGCATACAGCAGATGTGGCGGCCTTCTGCAGCGTTTACGAGCTCACATTGCTTCCATCCTTTCAGCTCTGGCGTCCCTCCCTCTCACAGATCATTCAGGCTGTGCTTCCGTGTTGTTCCTGAGACGGCGCTGTGCATTCTGTCAAGATGTTTGCATCATTTGTTCCCACCCGGCAACGGAGCGCCTCCAGCGCCAACGCCCCCGGATCTGCTGAACATTTCTTCTCTAAGAAGCAGAAGTTGCAGCACCAGGAACATGAAAAGGGACTGAATCCTACATTTGACAATGGTGCCTGGGAAACTCTGCCCACTGCCCAACCCTACGGCCCGGCCCCCGGCAACACATTGTTAGCAGGTAATTAAACGTGCTGAGAGTCTTCAACCTTCTGGATGTTGTCTCTGCAATGTCTTCACGTGAGCAATTGGTTGTGAAAATGCAGTAGGCAGCTGTTGTTGTCCCTGGATGTGACATGCGAAGGGTTTGGGTTTTGGGGTTGCGGGCATGTCCCTGTTTGAGAAAGAAGAAGAGATACAGGTCAGGACTTACATTAACTACACATCTGGTCATGATTTGCTAAACCATTGCCTTCAAAAGAGCTTCCAGCATTCAAGTTCTGCCCCCTCAACAAAAGGCCGTTTGGTTATGCCCCAGAAGTTACGAACACCGAAATCATGCAAGCAAGACAATTGATCTATTGTGCTCCGCTTGCAGATATGGCTTTGGCAGATGAACCTCAGACAGGGTGCCCGGCTTCTGGAGATGTACGTCAACCTGACGCATTTGACAATGGACTGAGTTGATCAACTTTCCTGGTCTCCTGAAAGTATGTAAATGCATCTGTTGAGTGCCATCTTGTCAATGCAACCCAGCCAGGTTTTGCATCAGGCATTGAGGGAGCCCCCTGTTGAAGGGATGCCTTTGGTGTGTGAATCATATGCCCCCAAGCTTCTGATTTGCTTCTAAACCTTATTTCCAAAATGCGATTGCGAACTTGTCTCCCCTGGTCCTCTTCAGGTCATGCCCTTCCCAGACAACCTTCTCGACATCCCTGATGACCTGGACATTGACAGGATGTCGTTCTGCAGCTCCGACACAGATTTTGAGGATGTAAGCTCCCAAGATCCTCCAGTTTCTTGAGTGGTTTTCTGATTGCGCAGTTGTCTTTATTTAGCAGTACGGAATTGAACAGATTGTACACTCCCCAGCCACATGCAATGTGTGTGGTAACAGCGCCTCCAAGATGCATGCAAGCTTCAGTGTGCCACATGTGCCCTCTGCTGCATCAACTTTCTTGTGTCGTTCTCAAAAGCTGCTGTCATCCTGCTTGCAGTTAGGGGAGGATTACACTTCCAACCCCAGGGACGAGCAGCTGGACATCTATGGGGAGAGTGCATCCTTGCTTGGGATGCCTGACGACAAGGTAAGGCTGGCAATGCTTGCCAGCAGACAGGACCATCATTTTGCCCATGCTCGGTGACACCTGTCACGTTCTGATCTCTAAGCAGGGTTTGAATCCTACTCCATTGTCAATGCCTTGGTGAATTTTTCAGAAATGTTCAAGATTAGCTTCTAGCATCTTTGAGTCTGATAGGTATTCTTCTCATTACTGCAGAAAGGAGTTGACATGGGGGTGCTCTCCTGGCTGGAGGCAGGCTTTCCTTCCTACCCCAATGCAGAGGTATGCTCAACAGCCCAGCTTTTACATTTGCCAACTCAGGATCTGAATGCTTGCTGGTTGTTCAATGCGCTTTGCAAAAGTGATGTTGGAAGCATCTGGGGAGCAGTTGGTTTTCTTCCTACCAAGGCAGCAGATAGGACAATGTGGATTTTTATGTCTGGTCACCATTCCTAAACGCGAGGTCTTTGTGGTTTCTGACGTTCAGAATCTTGTCAATGCAGGGTTTCAGGCTTCCTGCAGCACTGGACAACACCCTCTGCGAATATCAGTTGCCAGCGAGCGCAACCCACGAAGCCATTGTTCCTGGAACTCCCGCCGCCACTCCCGGCTTCACTTCTGAGCAGGTGATTGCCCCTCTTGAATTGGACCAGAACCTGCAGACATTCTTTGGGCTGGAAACGGTCAATGGCTACTTGAGTGAAACCCTATGTCCACTGCACTGTCCTTTGGTAGGGACTAAAGTAGCTTTTAGTTGCGCAGACCCTTTTATCTTTGAAGTCCTTATTTGCAAGCCTGCGCAGATCGTGATTTGAAGGAGACTCTCTCTCTGCAGTTTTCCGCTCTGAAGAAGTTTGCCGACACGACCAATCTCGACGTTGTCATTGAACCCGACGGCATCAAGCTGAAGCGCTCCCCCCAGGCAACGCCGGTACGGGGCACGCTACTAAAGTCCTGCTCTTGAAATGCATTGTCTTGAACCTCCAAAGTTCCAGGCGTTGGAGGGACCTGTCGCAATTGGCAAGATGCCAGGCGGTGATGAAACGATGAACAAGATGTTTCGTTGCTAGTTGCCGTCTTTCAAGTGTATGCTCTTTGCATTCCAAACAGTCTGCAATCACTGAACTCTGATCAGAGGACTTGAGGAAAGGAGTGCAGGATAGCTGGTTTGAGAAGTGGATTGACTGCATTCGCAATCCACCTCCGTGTTTGGTTCTGCTTATAACGCGCTCGTCACGGCTATTGCAGGACTCGTTTCTGACGCAAGCCCCGCCTGGCTTTGGTGTGGACACGGGCCTGAGCGAGCGGGAATTCACGGAGGGCCCTCTGCGCATGGAGGCCGAATCTGCTGGCAGCCACGTGGTGAGCACTTGCCCGTCCAGTTCACAATTGAGGATTTGTCGGGGATCAGGACATAGGTATACCTGTCAAAAGTAGATGTTAGGCAAAGGTTTTTGATTAGTCGCTCGCCACAAACCTCGAGCTACGGCTCTGCCTTTTTGCCGCAGTCTTGCCTCTGCCCACAGCGAAATATTCTTCCTGAAAGGAGAAGATTACACGAGTGGCGGCTGTGGGTGAAAACTCATCAGAGAAACGGACGCGTATCTTACCTAGTCTGATCCGCCTTTTCTTAAAAACGACAGGGCTACAAGTAAGCTGATCCTACCGCCACTTCGTCTATTTCAGGACCCTATGATCCCCACCCAGCTCTTCCCGGAGACCTCTACCGGGGCTCTGGACTTCTCCGCTCTCCCGTTGGAGTCGCCCCCCCCTTTCGACTGCCCCCCCGTCGCTGACTATAGCTGTGACATCACCGACGATGAGCTGTTGGCCATCCTCTTCGGCTCGGATAGGGAGGGAGCCGTGGAGATTCCCAAAGCTGCTACCGAAGAGGTAAGGACATGAGAATTACATTTTCGAAGTTTTGTGGTACCCTGATTTAAGATTCTGCAGAACTGAGAAAATTTCAACTTAAAAAGATAGGTTCACATGAGAAGAGAATCGCACTACAAGAAATTGGTTCAATATTATCAGATTGGACGGATCTGGGCACCTGAGTTCGTTGGGGATTGCCAGGACAGGAAAGCATTCCATGGCAGGATGCTTTTGTTCCCTTGCACTTCGCGTCTCAAATCTTCGTGTCATTAGAACCACGGCGACGTCATCTGACGTGCGCTTCTGACCGCAGGTGACGGACTCCGAGTTCCTGCCCATTTGCAACGAGGCGGACAGCCTTTCCGAGGACGGCACCTTCCAGATCAACGGCCGCCCGGTGACAAGGATGTCGTCAGCGGAGTTCGCCAGGACCAGGCCTTACGATCTGCAAGGTGAGCCACGATGACGTCAGCTTTTGCTCCTTCGATTCGTGCGCTTGACGACCTGGTCACGTGGGTTGTCGGGATGGGCTCGTTGGAGCCGGCATTGGTGCAAGAAAGCGTTGTACTTTCCGTCGACTTTCTTGCCGAAGTGCATCTTATTGCTACTTCTGCAGACTTTCTGCTTTGCCTCTTCGCTGCGAGGTTATGCTGTCTTTGTTGGAAGAGATCAAAAAGAAGCTCACCAGTCACTTGCTCGTATTCAAGAGCTTCATTACGTGATTCCGTTGCATCATGCAAGCGAGCACTAATTCTGTTCTCCCCTGTTGGCAGTCGTGTCCGAGGAGCTGTCCAAGGAGCCCCCCCACCCCGAGACAAGCCTCAACTGGTGCTTCATCATCCCCAACCGGAGTCCGAAAGACCTCAACAAGTTCCTCCCGGAGAAGACGTGGACCAACGGGGGAAAGAACAAGGAGAAGCCCACCGAACTCAACAACGCAATGACGGTCCAACATATCGGCTTTCAGGCGCACAAGCTCCCTCGGGCAGAAGTTCCGGGCTACCTGCAACTGGACGCAACAGATCGGGCCATGCTCCGGTTCTCCATGAAAGTCTACACCCGGAGGGGGGTGAGGAGCTGCAAGAAGGCATACCCCACCGCTTACGTCGTGCTGACGTTGAAGAAGCCGATCCGGAGGCTGCGCCACGCGCGTCGGGGTTAGTAGCAAGGGTTTGGCGGTGTTAAAAACGGATATACATGGGTTACGAAGGAAACTGGTGTTGTATAAAGACCTGTGTATGATACTAATTGATCTAGTCCTGTGTATGATAGTGGGCGCCAATCCTTTTGCTATACACAATAAGTTTAGTCAGCCGCGGGCTTTTGAAGCTAGGGCGTGTCATCTTACATGTCACGTTCAGTCGTGACAAACGGCATGTTAACGGCTTGTTAATACTAAGAATCTAGGAAGTACTGGTCTGAGCAGCCGGATTTGAGGGGATTTTGGTAAGACGGCTAGGTGTCGGACCTCAAGGCTGCCTTTGGGAATTACCGAGGTACGCAGCTAGAACGTTGGGGACATACAGTGTTTGCTATGTTTGTTCCTTGGACCTAGGGGAACGAGCTTAAATTGCTAAAAGCTAGACGATCTTGACCCGGGACCCGTAGCCGCCGGCGGCCCCCTCGATCAGAACGAAACCCAGGCTCGTGATGGGTGCCAGCATGCTCGCTGGCCGCGCTGATGGTTCGGCGCAGATGCGATCGATCCGTTCATATGATCGATGAACTGAGCTCTCATGGTCTCTGCATTTGGCAATTGTCAAATATGATGCATATATACAGATCGCACACATATGATATCATTCTGTACATGCCTTTGCACAAGTCAAGTATTTAAGAACATCGAGTCCCGAACATGCAGCTACCGTCCGATAATATTGAAGTACTTTTCATCTAGTCTGAATGAGCTCCTGCATGATCCTATAGTACATAGGATCATGCTATATATATAGCTTCAATTGAACTTATACATCGGCGCTGCCGCCGTGCATGACTCAGTTCAATGCACTGAGCTAGCTCTGAAGTCTCCTGCAACTTGCGGTTCCAAAATATATATCATGCATATGATCGGCTTTAATACAATTGTACATTGAGGGTCCTCACCGTGACATGCGCTCAACTATAACAGAGTGTGAGTTCTCGTCATGCAGCTTTGCTTCGGATGCGTTGACCTCTGGCAACCTGACTCAGTCGCATCGTTTCTCCATCAAAGTTTTGGGGAGATCTGGTAAGCTTCTACATCAATGTCGCAAAGTGAATTTCAAGCTTCAAGCGTCGCGCTGGACAAAAATATGCTACATGTTGGCTGCAAAACAAATCCTAGCTGCTGCTTGAAGCTTGGAGTGTTCTTTTTGCGGATTTGAGCGTGTTTTGAAGCAAGACTGCAATTGTCATTGGCCCTACGCCTCCAGGAACTGGCGTGATTGCTCCTGCTACTTTCCGCGCCTCCTTGTAATCGACATCGCCCACTAGCCGGTAGCCCCTCTTGTCGCTTGGATCCTGTAGAAAATGGTAACCAGATTCAGCTTTTGGATTCTAGTAGGGACATAAGACGTGAGATCTGATCAAGCATTCAGCCGCCTGAACATTCAGAAAAGGGACTGTCAGCGGTTTACGACGGATGTGACAGCTCGAGCACTAGACGCGCGGTACAAAATCGTGTTTTCTCGTTGAAAAAATAGTCGTTGTAGCCCAAACGCTGACCGGTGCCAATGGCATATTAGCGTGCCCGTTTTTTGTTCCTATATGGACAATACGACTCGCAAAGACCTCGGCAAGCCTCTTTTCAAACAGCGAAGCCCGCCCACCACGCCAAGCAATCAGCCTACAAATGCATGCAACAAACGACTGAGTGGTGATTCTGAACAGCAGGCCGAATCGTCTTGCCCCTTCCAATCGCAACTTCGAGAGACGCAAGAAGAATCATTTCACTTCGATGCGCGGACCAAAGTCGGAATTGGAAGCACACTCAGCAGCCCTTACGTCAACAGCGTTGATGCCGACATCGATGACAACCGCCCCCGGCTTCAGCCAGTCCGCCTTTACGAACTCCGCCTTGCCAATTGCCGCAATCACGATGTCAGCGCGCCGAGTATGCTCCGCAGGGTTCGGGGTTCGGGAGTGGACAACGGTCACTGTGGCGTTTAGTTTCTGCCAGAGAGAGGGAGGGAGGGTGAGGGAAGGAGATAGAAAGTCGCTAGCGACTCCGCAATTGTGGTGACGTGCTCCACAGAAGATGGGGCTTCGAGAGACGACCATTTGGAACCTCGAATTTGGTGGCAGATCGGCAGAGGGGATGTGGTGATTGCAAAGCGAAGCACGTACCAAGCAAGGCTGCCATTACAAGTGCTATGGCAGAGTCGGAGTCTGTGAGTGGACGACAGTCAACGTAAAAATCAATCGCTAACGAAGCGAGAAGGAAACGTAAGGTTAAGAGAACTAGATTTTGGAGTCTTCTGCGTTTCCGAAGAGCGGGTCTAACATCAAGGCGCCAGAAGCACTATGACGAAAGGAGAGCCGCTCGCCCGAAGCGCGATGACAAAATGAGAGCCGCTCGAAAAGAGGAAATCAGGGACGGGCGCCAAACAAGCCTCAGATTTGTGCTCGAAGTTCAATGCTCGAAGTTCAAGATATCTTTAAACCGTTCTCTCTGATACGACGATCGAGAACCGCTCAAAACTCGAAACACAGCGAAGGGCCCAGAAAATTGTTGACCTCAAATCGACAACAAAACAAAAGCTTTCCTTTCTGATCAGTAGCGATCGAACCAATCAAGGTTGGTGCGACAACAATGCTGTGTCCTGGTATCAGGTTCCATCTAAGCTCATCCCTGACGTTCTTAACAACCAAGAGAACACCTACGTGAAGATTGTCACACACTCCGATGCTTTACAAGTACATCCAAGCACGTACGCCGTTCCGCTTGGATAGCCTGCCCCCCAAGATCGCTCAGTTTTCATGATCCCAAAGCCCAAAACCTGCGGCTCCACCTCAAATTCACGGGCTCCGAATCAGAAAAATCTCAAGACCACGAGACCTGGAGCCAGGCGACCAAAATCTTGGAGGCTCTCAGATTACTCTGACGCCTGAATGCCCATCTTCACCCTGAGCCCGGATCTTTTCCTCACCTGTAAAAGCAGCGCCGCAGGCATGCCGACCGTCTTGCTCCGCCCCAGAACCACCGCATACTTCCCCGCAATCTGCACCCCCGTCCGTTGCAGCAGCTCGATGCACCCGGCCGGCGTGCACGCCACAAACAAGGGATCCCTCTGCTGCATTGCGAGCGTGCCAACGTTGACAGGGTGGAAGCCGTCGACGTCCTTCTCGACGGAGACGGCGCTTAGGATGCGCTGCTCGTTGATGTGGGAGGGGAGGGGGAGCTGGATCAGGATGCCGTGGACTTCGGGGTTGGCATTGAAGTCGGTCACGATCTGCAGGCTTTCAGAAAGTGTTTTCAGGTCCATTTCTTGAAAGATAGGAGCGAGAAAACGACTACGGTAACCAATCGTTTCTCGTGTTGAATGAGGGAAGGTGGGATCCGCCTGAGAGCGGGGCAAAGAAGACTACTTTCCCGATGTCAGGGAAGAAAGATCTGGGGGCGATTGCAATGATGCTGATCGAGTTACAAAACGACAGTCCTTTTCTGAACAAGAAAGATATCGCGCTCTAGACCCGCAAGGTGCATTACATAGAACTTTTGGCTTCGGCGAACTGGCTGACCTTGAGAGTATCTTGGAATGCATTCTCGTTAAGGAAAATGTTCTAAAATAATTGATCAAGGCCCCCGGTTGAGAAATCCAAGAGAATGCAAACCGTTTTCGTACACGGTGCTGGAGGCAAATGGAACTGCAACGAGCCAGAGAAGTCCGTCGCAATGAAAAATCACAATTTGAAGCGAAACAAACCGAAGAACCTGATGTAAGATCCGCATATGCCAAACAACAACAGAATCCGCATCAAAAGGCAATGAAGAGAACAAAGCTAAGCTGAAGGACAGAACAAGCCAAAGAACACGCCGGGAGCTTGTCCTTGCATCAGACGGGGTTCCCCCCAATCCTCTCACCTTTAAAAACATCAAACAGCACCTATACTGATGCTGATCATCTAAGCGCTTTAATGTCACATTTCAGAAAGTGACCCGAAGCCCCAGTATCAACTGCAGAAACATTTGTGTTTGACCACACGAGCCCGCACCTTTAGGAGCTCGTCTTCAGAGACGTCCTCCGGCAGGTCCGCATCAAAGGACTTGATCCCGACCTCCACGCACGCCTTCTTCTTGCTCCGCACGTACGTTTGTGAATCTTTTCGTGACCCCACCAGAACCACCGCCAGCCCAGGCACCTACTCCAACGGAAAGGGCTGTAAGAAAGGAGCTGAAAACATACAGGAAAATCGGAAAGAATTCTAGAAGCGCAGGAAGGAGAGAAGTCCAGTGGCAGAAGCTCACAGTTCATTTGTGCTTTTGTTTCATGGCAACAAAGAGGCCGTTGGGAAAACTGCAAAAATAGTCCTCAAACAAGAACAAGTACTTTCTCCACACTTGCAAAAGTGGTGGGGCAAACCTCAAAACCCCCAGATCAGCACTCCAAATCATTAATTCCAGATCAATGTAATTGCACCTGAAGTAGAAACTTTGTACGTATCAAAGTTGCACTCTCAGCTTTCTGGCACTAGTTGATACATGCACATCCGAAGCATCCGGCACGTCTGCACGACGCAGCAAGCCTCAAGCACGCAGCCACCATTACCAAGTTTGCAACTCAAGATTCTTCTAAAAGGTCCACCAACTGCAGGAATCATACCACCAATC